TCAACTGCACGCCCGCCGTTGGCGGTGCCTCGACATTAGCCGAGCTCGACGCCATCATCACAGTAACTAATTAAGCCTCTCTCGGCCGAGGACTTCATCTCCTTGCCTTTGACTGGGCATCCCTGACGCCCTACATGTTTTCGCAGGGCGCCGCCGACGTTCCGTGCACTCTCCTCCACTTCGTGAACAACGATTTGGTCGATGTCGCCAAGGGCAAAATCTTTCAACCGGACAACCCCTTGTTCCACAGTACCCAGATGCCACCCAACTTGTTTAGGGTTCAACTGGTTCGGGTGCTGCCAGGCTGCGACGACTTGTTACCTCCGATTCGACCCGTCGGGGCCGACGATGAAGACGTGATGACCCTCAGCGCCTGCCTGAGCTGGCCCCTGATTTGGCCGAAGAGCCAGATTCGTTTGGGGGCGGGGGACACCACCCCAAAGACAACACCGCCAGTCGTGCCGGCGCCAAGTCGGCCCCATGGCAAGACCGCCGTAACGGTGTCGGACATCCCTATGCCACTGGATCCAAACATGCATATGGCACAGGATCAGAACGACGACGACGACGACGATGATACATTTGGCAACGTCGATCAGTACTTTGCCGAGCATGGGTACGATGGCGACTTCATGGGGCCTCCTTCTCAAGAACCAAACCCAACAAAAGACGTGTGCGATCTAGCTCGTACCGCGGAGAAGCCAAGTTGCAACAGGCGCCGTCTGGCGTTCAGCTCTCAGGAGACGCCTCCAGCTGCCGACTTCACCGAGCCTCAGATAGGCGAGGTGCGAAATATTATCAGCCCCAACACACTCAAGAAGGCGGTCTGTGAGCAGAACTCAGTCCCATTACAGGAGAAGAAGAAGGCACACAAAAGAAAGACTAAGAAGGGTGCGAGCCAGCCGGCATCGAGTACGATCCGTGCTCAGGACGGGCCACCTTCACCGCAGGATATCTCGAGGAGGGTGCATGTGGCGGGTAGGGTGATGCTACCGACAAATATGCTCAATGCTGCAACCGGTGCTATGCGGAGTCTGCATGACAGTGTTCTTGCTTTGGAGAAGCGGCGTCTCAGGGAGAAGGATGTGGCATACCCGGTTTTCGCGGCCAAGGTGCCAGAGGGCAAGGGCTTTGTGGATAACTCCATCGGGCGTACGATCGTCCTGCGTTTTGATGACATCCACGCTATGTTGAACCTTCATCCGCTGCACTACACCTTCGTTCGGCTATTTTCGCTGAGTATGGAGATGCGGATCATTCGCGACAAGACCCCGGACATCGTGATAGTCGACCCCTTCTACATGCGTGCCAAGATCTTGGGCAGCGCTGGGGACCGGCAAGTCGCGAGTTCTTACCTCGAAGGTGTCATTCTGGCAAACCAAGATAAGGATAACTTCCTCGTGCCTTACTTTCCCGAGTAAGTCCTCCCCTCAACCGGCCCGTAACATATGAATTCTTACATTTCGATCGTTTTTCTTTTAACATTCCGTGTTTTCTGCAGTGACACACGTTGCACGCTCATCCTCCTAAGCCCCAAATATTCCATGGCCACGTATTTCGACCCGGACCGTCAGTCGAACGTAGACTACACAAATGTCAAGAAGGTTCTTGATGATGTTCTCCCCGGCTACGCCCAATCTGGAGGCACCTTCACCAGGCCTATTCGTAAGTACGGCAAGCACGTGTTCTCCCACAATACGACGTTCTGCTGCGTCAAGCAGCCGCCTGGCGGTCAGAAGGGTGCCTACTACGCCATCCATCACATGCGGGCGATCGTACGGGACCATCATCAACTTCTGCTACCGAGTAAACTCAAAGATTGGGCCGCGAGCGTGTCGGCAATCCAGGACGCGGACCTCCGACAAGAATTCTTTCGCATCCAGTCAGAGTTTGCGGAAATCATCCATCAAGATGTCCTTCATACCTCGGGGCAGTTCTACCTCAGAAATCAACCGTCCAACAGTGAAATCGACACAATGCTACAAATGCAGGATGACAACGCCCGTTCTTTCATGACTCCCACGATAGACGGCGGCTTCATCCACGCTCCGGTCCCTTGAGTCGAGTTGTCTAGTTCTGAAACATCGATTGGCTCATGTTGTAATTAAACTTTAATGAACTTGTAGTATGTCTCTTTGGTTTCAAGAGTCGTTCAACTTAGATGTAATCGATGCTATTAATGTCTTGCTTTTCTCTTCCGATCGTTCTGTTGCATAATTATATATTGCTTATGTATTGTCTGTGAATTGGTACTAACGTTTCATTTGGCTAGTGCATAGCGATGCCGACGTATGTCGTGTACAAGGGTAAGGTTCCCGGAGTCTACGATGACTGGGAGGAGTGTCGGAGACAGGTTCACCGATTCAGCGGTAACAGTTACAAAGGGTACACCACTAGGGCCGAGGCCGAATCTAGATACGCCCGCTATCTAGCGGGAGAGGGGAGGGAGCGTTGGAGGAACCGGATGAAGACGAGTTTCATCGTGATGATGCTCATCGTGATGACCGCAGCTCTCTTCTATGTGATGGTAGTTTAGATGATCGATATCGACTTGTAATGTGAAGACAAACTCGCTACTCATGGTCTCGAGACTTGTAATATAATGTTCTATCTTTGTTCGGTCTTTTTAATTCGGAGACTAATATGATGAATTGTATTCGGAGACTAATATGATGAATTGTATTCAAAGACTAATCTTCTATTGTATTCGATGAATCTGTTGTTGATGTGTGTTGTCTATATTTTGTCAAATTATACATTTTGTAACCTGTGCAAAAAACAGAAAATAAAAAAATAAAAAAAACCTAATATTCGTACTAATGGCGCATCACATGACAGTGCGCCATTAGTATGACAGTGCATACTAATGGCGCATCACTGGGTAGTGCGCCATTAGTATGCCGCGGTTACTAATGGCGCATCCAGTGGTGGTGCACCATTAGTATGCCAAAGCACCTGGGTATACATCGCCCCTGGGAGGCATACTAATGGCGCACGCTGGCCTATACTAATGGCGCACCCGCGATGCGCCATTAGTATACCAGATACTAATGGCGCACCAGGTGGTGCGCCATTAGTAAAAATTACTAATGGCGTGCTGTTAATGGCGCACCACAGATGCGCCATTAATGGCCATATTAGGTGCGCCATTAGTAGGGGTTTTTCTAGTAGTGAGTCCCTCTCAAGGGTGGGATCTTGAGGTAGATAGAATGTCAACTTTGAAAGATAGGTCTCATCTTCTTTTATTATAATAGTTTTCGGCTTGCTCTGAGGTATTTTCATGTTTTATCTGACCTTCATTTTTTTATGTGGTATCTTCGATTACTACAAGAACAAACAACACACATTCTCTTACTTCTAACCAGATGAAAGGAGGGGTACACTTTCTGCTATACAAAACTTCAAATGGTTGCAAGATCAAGCTTGCTTGGTAACTGTTATTGTAGGAGAACTGCTATTAGTTTGTCCCGCAAAGGTGTATTGTAGTGTAGACATGTGAATTAGTACCCCAAAAAGGCCACCATCAACCCTTGTTAGTTTAAATTAATTAATTCAATTCGTTTTTCTCCAAATAAATCAATTAGTTTATCATAATCATCAGCGGCATTTTGAAAATTAGTTCAATTACTTTAATTAAAGAGGGTTGATGGCACAACTTATGGTGGCGCTTAATGCAATCCCTCGTCTATTGGGTCGACAACTAATATTTGCAGTATGGCACCAAGTGCTTATAGACTACAATGAGACGACGCCAAGCACTTTGTGGACCATGGTGGGATGAGGACACCCCTTGTTTTGTGAAGTCAGTGGCTTTGTGTACCTCCTTAATAAGCGTGTGTAAGCACAGTGTGGTGTGTTTTGTGCTCGCTCAACTCTGTATTATTGTATCCTAGAGAAGGATATTGATGCATACTCTCTTGGATTTTCCAAACAACCTGTCCCAAGCATTTTGATGGCAGCCAAATGTGCAATATTATTACAGGATATCGGATACTACATCCATTCCATTGCATTTGGCGTTGGTTTAGTTTAGTTTAGGACCAGCCAAACCTTATAAAGAGTAAAATGCATGGGCGGTACATGAACTTGGTAGAGAGTGTCATTTAGGTCGCCGAACTCCCAAAATGCATATTTAAGTCCCTAAAATTGCTTATGGGTTCACATAATACATCCAAGTCTTCATAACCCATGTTAAATGGCATGCGTGGAACGCTGACCACAGGTCAGGTCCACCTATCTTCTCTATTCATCTCTATCCATTTCTCTCAAACGATCTATGCCGTCGCGCTCGCCCAAATCCCGCGCTGCCGAAGCTCGCCCCGTCCGGTGCGTCAAGCTTACCCTGCCTCTGCGGCGTGCTGACCTCAAACTATCAGCACCACCAGAGCTCGTCCTGACTCCGGTCTCATCCTCTCCCCCATGGTCACCCCCCTCCTGCCTCTCTTGCTCTCCATCATCCGCTCCACGCATCAGCATGCCACATACGCAATTTAAGGTGGGTTATGGAGATTTGAGTGTCACACGAACCAATTAGCAATTTTAGGGACTCCAATGTGCATTTCAGGAGATGAGAGACCTGGATGACACTCCCTAGTTCATGGACCGCTGGTGTATTTTACAACTTAAATAAATAAAACAGAAGGGAGATACTTCCTCCACCCCAAATTGCAAGTCGTTTTAACTTTTTTATTTAGATACGTACATAGTAAAACATAATGTATTCAATAGGTCAGGTGCATAGCAAACGCTATGAATCTACAAAAAACAAAACGTTTTATATATTTATTTTTTTAAAGAAGGAGTAGCATATATATATATATTGTTTATTTATTATAGGCAAGGATGCATGTGTAGCAGCCGAACCTTTACATGCATAGCATAGACATGGAGTACACAATTGAATAGCTAGGTACCGTGCAATTATTCATTACATATATATAATATAAGTAGAGATGCACGGAGTCACACACAGATGATGGAGGTGCACGGCGGGTGGGTCATCAGATGATAGGGTAAAGCGGGTACTTGGCAATGCCGCACAAGCCCAAGGGTGGCGAGTCCCTAAGGAAATAGACGAAGCCTTTGTCGCCCCACTGGTCAGTCCACGAGTTCTTGCCGATCCAGTACTTGGTCCCGTCAGGCTTGGTCCCGTACCCGACGAGGGCCAGCGCGTGGTTCTGCGTTGTCCCGCACGCCCCTTTGGTGTAGACGCCGGACCTGGAGCAACCGGCGTTGTACACGCCGCGGATGTAGTGCTGGAAGCAGGGGTCACTGTAGTCGAAGGATGCGGCGACGGGCTGCTGCGCCACGGCCGCCATCAGTGCCGCCTCGTTGCCAGACGGTGTAACCTTCTTGTAGCCTCTGAGCCTGACCGCGACCGGCTTGGCCCTTTGGCACGTGCCCACCTTGCCGGTGTAGGGGTAGGCCGCCTCCGTGGTGATGCCACCGTTCTGAATCACCCACTCGAAGGCCTTGTCCATCCAACTGTTGCCGCAGCCGTTAATCCGACAGTCCACCAGCTGCTGCTCCGACAGCACCGGCGGCGATCCACCGGTGCTGATCGCATGCGCGCTCTCCATCGTCGCCACCGACATGAACGCCCAGCAAGACGCTGCACGCGCGGACACGTACGTACGTTAGATGACCACTCACTTACCTAATTGCATCAATATAATGGAGTAGAAGACGTACGACAACTCGCATCGCATGCATGATTTATTTTGAATGGATGTTACTTACAACAGGAATCCCCTTGATACTTGGCTGCTGTGACGACGCCTTTCTCCCTCCAATCGACGCTCGGAGGCACCGCCGCCGTCAGGTTGAGGTTGGTACGACGCGAGGTGGCTCTTCGACGGCGGCGGTGCCCTCGTGGACGGGGCCAGCGCGAGTTGTGATCACCGTCGTCTCCTCCGACTCCCATGACGACTCGTTGCTGCCAGAATTGCTGCTGAACATGGCCATGAACTCATCGTGGGTGAGGTCGGTGAACGGGGTCTCGCCGAGGCTGTAGCTCATCCGGCTGTCCCGGTTCGCCGCCTCGATGAACTCCATGTTGCTCCGGTACACCTCGAACCGGCGCAGCTTCTCCTCCACGGTGGCGTACGACCGACCGTGCGCCGCCATCCACCCATGGAACCTCCCCAGCATCAGCAGTGCCTCGCCATCCAAGCCATGATCGAGGGTACCTGAAGCTGATGAAGCCATGGAGGGGATGAAAAATGCGGCTGCCACCAGTAGCGGCAGCAGAGCCAGAGCCATGGATGAGGACGACGAGCGCATGAAAGCCATGTCCGATATGGATGATGTTTAGCTACCTTTGGGTACAGCCATTTATAGAGGCCCGACGATCGATAGACCTCACTACTGATTCACGTCCTCCTCTTGCAATTGGTGTGCTGTCTTTTTACATAGATTTGAAAGCCATGTCCGATATGGATGATGTTTAGGTTTAGCTACCTTTGGGTACAACCATTTATACGTAGAGGCCCGGCGATAGATCTCACTACCGATTGACGTCCTCCTCTTGCAATTGGTGTGCTGTCTTTTCCATAGACTTCTAGAGTGAGCCTCAGATCACATGCTGGCAAATAAACCACCGAAAACACTATATCTTCTTTTAGGCATAATTCATGTATAACATGATTTGAAGGACCTTGGTGGGTACGTACAGTGGCATCTTTCACACCTTCACTACCACACAAGCCATTTATAAGTGCTTAATTCCCTCCAAGTTCTTATAGTTTAAACCAAATAAAAGAAGAGCATATATCAACCTAATGGAAGAAAAGAGCCGGCGTCAAGTGCACTTAATTTTTTGACATTAACAATATTAAAAATATGAGATTGGCAATTATGATATACAACAAGTACACAAAAATAAGATCTTTTTTTCTTTGGGGCACTCCTTTGCCTCACAACAAGATCAGACTTGCTGGTTTATCTTCTTCTACTATTTTTAAATGGGAAAGCAATACCTTATTCAAGGATTTTCTTCTCCCCTTACACCTGAATTTTGCTTCGTCCTCCTATTGCCAATCCAAGGATTGCGAGCTCCTTCCCGGCCTCCGACGAGGTTGGATCTTGGGAGTTTGGGCTCTTGCAAGCTTCTCCACATTGCCGATCTTTTATCGAACGCCGATTACGGTTAACCGGCTTGTATCCCTTTTCTCCCTAATTCATTGTATCACGCGGGATCGAATGGCTCTTTCATTATTAACCCCTTTGCTTCTCGATCCGATCCTACCGCTTCCGCTCCAATGGAGGGCCACTCCTCCGGTAACACCTCTCCTGCAAGCTCCCGGGATCACCTTTGGGACATGCTGGATCCCACGAACCAGGGTGTTCACCTTCCAATCGTTGTCAACTTGGGTCACAAAAAAAGAGTAGAAGAAGCTAAAGCAGCAAATATATTGTGACACGAAGGAGTACCACAAAGCAAAAAGATCTTATTTCTATGTACTTGTTGTAGACCATAATTGCTAATTTAATACTTTTAATCTGAGAAAATTAAGTGCACTTGACGCCGACTCTTTTCTTCCATGTGTTTGATATACACTTTTTCTTTCATTTAGTGTAAAATATTAGAACTTGGAGGGAACTAAACCTATGTCGCTGACGTGGTAGCGAAAGGTTGTTCGGATTAATCCATCCATCAATTATGCAATTCAGATCTACTGTCTTCGGCTGTTTATTTGCCAGCCTGTGATACAAAGCTCATTGTAGGGGGAAAAAGACATGTAACCAAGAGGACAGCTTCAGATCCGCGATGCATGGCGGAGTGCGCAGGGACGGCGGTGGCTGGATCTGGGCAAGCGGGCTGGACGTGAAGCTGTTGTTGCTGGTTGTTCCGGTCTAGTACACATCCACGTCCTAAATGAATGCGAGCGCTACCAGAAGGCTAGCTTAATTTGCACTTCAGTGCACCGGGCTAGCAGGATCTTCGCCGTCCTCTTGCACTGCGTGACACCCGAAGAAATCGGTTCAGCCCTGTGTTGCTCTTCGCGACTCAAGACACCGACGCCCCCGGCGCCCTCTTCTCCACCATGCATCCTCTCCTCGTCGTTGTCTGTGTTCGTTGGGCGAAGCCCTCGCGGTGGGTGGCGGCAGGCTGACGCGTTGACGGCGATGACCCTGGTTGCACATTGGAAGGAGGCGGCGGTTCTGGTGGGTCTGTTTAGCGCGTCGGTGACCTCGCTGTGAATTGAAGGGGCCATCGGAAGGTTCTTGTGAGGGTTCCTCTCCCTAGACCCGGTGGCTGGCTTTGGCGATGAAATACAAACTATGGACAATGACTTGATGCAAAGGGGAGGTTGTGCAGGGGCGGCGACGCATCGCATGTAGCTGTTGGGATCGAGAAAAATTGGTGGCGACAATACATGGCTAACGTCGATGATGGTGCTACTTGAGGACCCGGCGTTGTGCTCCGGGGTGAAAGCCTAGGTCTGGCCCGAGTTGATTATACCTGGCAATGACGATGTTTTTACGTCATTACATTGTTGAAGGCATTGTTGGGATATGCTTAGAGTGGATCTTCAGCGTGAAAACATAGATTCTAGCCTAAGGTGGTTGGATCCGGTGATGGCGGCGCTTGAGCATCGCTCCCTTTCAGATGACGTTGTTGTTGAAGAACTTCCTCGTTCATGTGGTATCATGAGATGGTTGGCGCAGGTGTTGTCATTGTTGTAATTTATTGATCGTGGATCTGATCGCTTTCTTTTTTTTCTCCTCGCCCATGCATAGCTTTGGTCTTATATGACTTTGCTATTTGTTGACGTGTTTTTTGTGTGCGTGTGTTGGTATTGGCTGTGTGCATCCTAGTTATGCAGAAGCCGGGTGGTGTTTTTTCATTATGAGTGTATCATCTTGATGCTTCATTTTGAGCCAATAAAATCCACTCTTGATCGAAAAAAACCAAGAGGACAACAGTCACTGAGGTTAGCTTGATGTCAGTCAAGTGCTCTACCCACTAGGTAGAGAACCTTTCGCTATATATTTTTTATTACTGGCATGAGTGTTGCTCTAAATAGATGAGATTCACTAGAGCTAAAAGGATACTCTTTGTAAGACAAAATCCGTGTACTCTTAAAAGTGCATTTATTAAGTATATGGGCAGGATGGAACAACATGGTCAGTTGCCTTTGAATGGTAAAACAGCAAGTATTGTAAAAGACATGTCTATATACCTCACATGAACATCTCTAACCATGTTTCGGCTTGTGATCAATCCTGATTTTGTTTTCAATTTGATGTCCAATCCTGATTTTACTGAGGAGTTCATCCCCAGTCTGAATCAGTATCGGTATGAAAAAAGACGGATAATGCATTGTTGATTAACATTGCAGCCTAGATAGTATTTTTTAAATTCTTAACAGGTAAAATAACACCGTATTAAGATTTTACCTATTTTTCTAATCAAAATTCATATATAACATGTTTAATTTGAAGTTGGTTTAGAAGATATGAATATTTTAAAAAAAACATTAGATATGTACTGCGGGTTTAATGTCAGAAACATCGGGGTTTTTTCTAGAAAATAGCATGAAGGACTAAGAATACCTACCCTGATGTTTCTGACATTAAATCTGCAGTATATGTCAAATGTTTTTTTAAAATACCCATATCTTCTAAACTGTAACTCCAAATTTAACATGTTATGTATGGAATTCGATTAGAAAAATATATAGAATCTGAATATGATGTTATTTTACTTGTTAACCATTTAAAAAGAATACTATTTAGGATGCAATCTTAATCAATAGTGTGTTATCCGTCTTTCCTTCATATCGACACCGATCCGGATTGTGGTTGAATATCTCAGCAAAATCAGGATTGGAGACGAAATTGAAGATTACATGCCCGTTTATTTGTATGCATTAAATCTACATGCAAGCCGTGTTTAAGTAGAAGATATGTGAAGTCTTGAACATGCGCTTCTGTAGGCAAAGATCATCTTTGTTTGGGCCATAGCTACAAATACTCAGATTATAGACATTTTTTGTAAATTAAGCGCGTGTGGTATTCTTTTCTTCCGTTGCAACGCACAGGCCCTTTTGCTAGTAGTATATATAACTCACCCCCACCCAGCACTCCTCGTGTCTCGATCTTTTCTGGTAAGAGCCGCTAGCCCGCTACCCATGAATGCATGCATGGACCATGCATGGACCCTATCCAAACAGCCGACAGTGCTGCCATTATCGTACGTGTTGCCTCATCACTCGTGTGCCGACCATGACCTCCACCATATAAACGTGAGAGATGTGAGTCAAGTCGGCAACGATTGCATTAACTCGTGATTGGGGCGTGACGCGCCCCTCTCACTTTCCTGGCTAGCTGTACAACGTAGTGTTATTTATCAAATCAAACTTCAACTGGTGCAAGATAGAAGGTGCACTGTCAAGGGTGGAATCCGTGTGACTTTCTGCTAGCTAGCTAGCTGCTACAAATTCAGTTTTCATACACACACAAACAAACAAGACCGTACAAGGTGCCAAACAAGTACCCCTCCGTACCGAAATATTTGTAATTGGGAAAACTTGTACTAGTAGTAATCTCTTTGTAAACTAATATAAGAGCCTTTAGATCACTAAAATAGTAATCTAAACGCTCTTATATTTCTTTATGGAGGGAGTAGTAGATTAGATAAATAACTAGGGCTGGCCAACTAAGGCCCTGTTTGGTTCATAGGTCCTAGGATTTTTTCTAGTCCCAACTAAAAAGTTCCTAGTCCCTAAAAAGTCCCTCCCTGTTTGTTTTCAGAGACTAAAAAGTCCCTAGTGCCTTCCTAGAGGTTATTAAATGACCATGTTGCCCCTAATATATAGAAAGATAACAATCAAACAACACCATGGGATGGCGGGCCAATGGATGCATAGAGGGGCATTGTTGGAAAAGTCCCAAAAAAACTCTCCTTGAGAGTCTTCTTCATTTAGTCCTAAATGTCTAGTTTAGTCCCTAAAAAGTCCCTCCCGTTTGATAAAAAAGTCTCTAAGGGGGACTTTTTTTAGTCCCTACACAAAAAAGTTCCTGAAAACTAACACTCCCTAATCGTCAACCCCAGGAACGGGGGCTCTTTGATAACTGCCAAATAAACCGCCGAAAACACTATATCTTCTTTTAGGCATAATTCATGGATAACAGGATTTGAAGGACCTTGGTGGGTACGTACAGTGGCATCTTTCACACCTTCACTACCACACCAGCCATTTATAAGTGCTTAATTCCCTCCAAGTTCTTATAGTTTAAACCAAATGAAAGAAGAGCATATAACAACCTCATGGAAGAAAAGAGCC